TGACCCGCGGAATATATATATCTGAAAATTTATTTTCAGGGTTTGTTTGACCCTCGGATAGAAATATTAGTGTGCGGTGGGCTGAAGGGCTCAAATATAACTTGAAGAATTCTAATTTTCATCTTCAACATCATCACAATCGTCATCGCCATCACAATCATTATCATCATCACCATAGCCATCATCGCCGTCACCACCTACATCATCATCACCACCATAAGCATTACAATCACAACCATCATCGTCATCATAATCACCGTCATCATCATCGCCATTATCATAACCATGATCATTATCGCCATAATAATCACCGTCATCATTGCCATCACGAATCACGATCATCACCACCACCGACATCACCATTAATTGCCATCATCACCACCAACCGTTAACGACCAGCATTGCCATCATAATCACCCTCATCATCACCACCATCAGCATTGCCATCAAGATCATCTTCGCCATCATCACTATAATCATCGTCATCATGATCGCCATTACCACTGACATCATCACGGTTGCCATCATCATAATCACTGTCATCATTATCATCATCACCATAGCCATCATGATCAATCACCTTCACCACTGACATCATCACCATCATCTCCACCGTCTCCATCACCACCATCACAATCACCATCACCAACGTATCAAAATATGTCAATGCTTGACTATTTATATTATGTTTACCCTGTGTAGGTACTATTTCTGGATGAAATACAAATCTGCAAAAAATATCTTTAAAAAAAAAAATAGTTTTTCTTTTGTGGGGGGGCTATTATTTAACAGGTCTGTGTAATTTACATTCTTTAATCAAAATTCATGCTAACTAACCCAGAAGAAAACCAGGGGGGTGTTTCATAAAGCTGTTCGTAAGTTACGCACGATTTTACGCACGACTGGAACATGTTCTTGGGTGCTAATCAGATTCTCAATCATTTACATGTAGCACAAGAACATATCACCAGTCGTGCGTAAAGTCGTGCGTAACTTACGAACAGCTTTATGAAACACCCCCCAGCTCTGGTTTCTTCTGAATAGCCTAGTAAACAGACAACGGTTAAACAAAAAATGTATTATTTAACACTACTTCTAATAATAAATGCGATAGGACTAGGAATAAAATTTGCATTTTCTAATATTTATATTTTATTTATGAACTGACTTTGACATTTATATTGAGACCATCACACGCATAAAATGTGTCGCTGAGAATAAAAGTATTATTAGAGTTCAATATTGTTAAATTGTATAAAGGTGACAGTTCTTCTTTCTTCTTCCTCGGTAAATGCTACTTCATACAACGAAGATTGATGTCTGTCAATGTCCCGCAAGCTTCGATGGTTGAGTGCGTCTGTCAGAAAAACAACAACAAATGATTGTTGTTCAGTCAGTTTTCTATTAATATAATAAATGCTTTGTTTGTGTGAAGCTCTGGAATCCCACCTTGGAACTTTGGGAGTATCAGAGATTTTTGTTTTATTGAAAGGATTTAGCTGAACAAAATCCTTCTCGTCCTTCTCCCAAACTCCCCGTTCAAGATTGTTTGTTGCAACGTGAAGCATAACTGCTGATGAGTCTTCAAATTAATAACCATTAAAACGAACAAAGGCCTGGAGTCCACTCAGTCCAGCAAATGTTGATCCAGGAATGCAATGGAGACTGATGTGTGATGTCTGTCAAAGTCCTGCAAGCTTCGATGGTCAAGTGCGTCTGTCAGAAAAACAACAACAAATGATAAGAAGAATAAAATGGCTTAGTTCAATGTATGGGGATTTGAAAAGAACTTATCAAAGTAGCTAGCCATTTATGGTAGCCAAAACTGGCTTGCTTTCAAATTTATTTTTTAAATGAAAACAAGTTACAGGTGTCAGATTCATGAAGTTTTCCCTTCATTTTTCAAGATGTGCACAAGTTCTAAAATGTAAGTGTTTAACTTCGGCTTTTTGTTTTAATTCTGCTCTGTTCATAATCATAATATATACAACTCGCACAAGGAATTGTTGCTTATTTCTGTGGCTGGCTGTAAGGTTTGAGTTGACCAGAAGGCAGAACCAAAGTTTGAGAATACCAAAATAATAAAATTAATTATCCTGTAATTTGTCATTCTAATATCCAGCTCAGCTCAGAGCTAAGGATTCCAGTTCTTTACAATTCGACCACAGTTATCAAACCCCTTCATTACTTGTCTTAACATGTTTAAACCCTGGTAAATATACATTTAAAACATATCATTTGTTCTAGATTTATAATAAATAGCAATGACTAATGAGCAGTCAATGTCAGCAGTCGATTTATTTACATTGCTGTCGATTTGCGACAAAAACTAAAAAGCTGACACAAATATATACACTTGGGACTACTGTATGCACCACACAATGGAACAGCGACACACAAGAAACCCCGCCATTCCTGACTAAAAGGCCGTAGCCATAGCAATTTCCCGCGGTTTCGAATCATTTTCCGTCTACTTCCGGTAGATTTCCAAAATATAGCCCAATAATTTGGGCAAAATGTCTATGAAGTACATTATTATTTTTAAATATAGATTCTGAAAGACATTATTTGTGTTTAATGTTTTTCAAAAAAGTTCATCCCTAACTAGTACTGAACAACAGTACATAAACTTGTGCATTTAGGGATTAGCTTCTTTGAAGAACACTGAACACAAATATTGTTGATTCTTGTGTCATGTTCATAGTGATTAGTGAATGTGATATTATGTGAAATGGAATCATTTAAACTGGAGGTTAAATAATTAATAATGCATGCAAATACAATAAACACTCGTCGCCAAAAATAGATGACTAATTGACTTAAAGCTTGTCTTCCAAAGATCAGACATACATCCAAACCAAATATTTTCATCATCTTTGTCATCATTAACACGATCCTTATTTATTACTAATAATATCATTAATGTTTCAGGTTATTATTACATCTACAGTATTCCACAGAAGTAAGTACACCCTCACAAATAATTTGCGCTTTAGTTTGGAAAACATCTACAATGTATCTCAGGAAAGCTAGTATTTTGTCATCTGTCATCTCTTTTGTCATATTTACCACAGCGCTACTAAGGTCAACCTATAATTTAGACGAGTGTAAATGATCATTTCTGGCGCATTGTTTGTACCGGTAGGTTGTATTGACTAGCAGCAACATGCACATGGCACGGCCGCACGCATAGACCTACGACGCTGTAGATCTACGCCTGAGCGGCCCGGGCACGCAGGCATCGCGTACGATACGGTTACTGAATGAAGCCAAGATCTACGTTTGTGGATGTACTTTTTAATTGTTTACTTCATCATATTTTTGTAAGAACATTACCTTTTGACGCTCAGACTCTTCCCGACGTCGTGTTGTTGATTTCCTCTTGGATGGTGGTTGAGGACGGTGGAAGAAGATGGTAGGAATGGCATCGGGTTTTAGTAGTAGTTTCATTCGGGCCTCGTACTTCATCACCTTCGCCCGAATTCCTGAAAACAATCAGCCTCGAAGTGGTCCTCGCAAACGACTCTATTTTTGCTAAATTGATATGTCCGTATATTAAACTTGTTCGTCCCAATATTGTTCAACCACTGAGAACATCTCTCCCTGTCTTTCAATGGGTTTGGGATGCTAAAGAAACTTTTTTTACTCCCATACCCTGGCCGATTGGAACACCCGTACGCCTGGCACAGCGGCATCTTGACTAGTCAGAATGTAAGACATGCGCTTAGTTGTGAGGACCATACGTCACATCACGTGATCAACAATCTGACATCGGTGCGGCAAATTTAAATGTTTTGCTAGAAATAACCGAAATAGAAATCGCTCTTAAAAATCAACCGATTGAAGTACAGCAGTGATATTTGGCAGTTTTAACCTTTGATTTATTTACAACATGCTATGATTTTTGAAAATTCGAGTGGACTTGTCCTTTAAAATACATCGCATAATAGCATATCACATATCCCACACATACCATACCATGCCAGAGTCACTGAAGAACCACATTTGCAATGGAAAATTTATCCTAAAATATCACATTTTAGCGATGTAATCGGCGGTCCCGCTACCCAAATCTGAAAAATCAAGTATATTACGCGTGTATGTAAGAAATATGGGTACCATAAAATGAGCTTTATTTCAAGTATTTTCCAGATTTAGAGCCCGATTTTGTGTTGGTCGCAAGCTCAAAAGTATCTCATCGCATGTATTAAATCAATGCAGCCGGACCCCGCAACGCACGCACGATATGTCTGTCTAATTCAGATTCCAACTTCCGATCACCGCAGTGCTAGTCTTCGACCAGACGAGCACCGGGAAGCTCCGGCGTGGGATACCTGCTCCGCCCGCTTGTGCTATAGATCAGCGCGGAAACGCACGGCGCGCGCGCTTCCTATTGACTTTGTACATGCGGTCGTAAACTGAATCGCTAGGTCGATAAGTGGCTCCAAAACAGTGAAAATTGAAATGAATATTGTCATGGCAATTCGTGATTTTTTTTCTGGGATTCTTTTTTTGTTTAAATAGAATCTAGGTCTAGATCTAGATCTAGACTTTCTACTAGCCGACTAGTCTAATAATAATATTTGCTTCATGATTTGAACAAGAAATGATAATAAATAGGAAGTAAAGAGTCCAAAAAATAGGACGAAAAACCCTCTACTCTAGGCCCTATCTAGTCTCTAGATCTAGTAACGTTAGATCTATGATCTATGATCTATGATTATCAGGGATTAAAATAATCAGGGATTATGATTATCATAATCAGGATTAAAATAATCAGGGATTATGATTATCAGGGATTATTATCAGGGATCTATGATCTATGATCTATGATTATCAGGGATTAAAATTAGTAAAAAATTGGGCTAAAATTCGTTTGCTAAGAATGGATATTAAACTGCTAAAAAAAATGGATACGGAACTACACTAGCGCCAAAAACTTTGAAATTTAATCTAAGAGTAGATTCTAGGTCTAAAAGTTAGACCTAGATGAGACAAACCTCAAATATTTTCAGCAGAGTCCTGATGTAGAGTCTCCTGATGCCAAAGGACACGCCGAAGCAAGCGGGGACAATAATGACAGCCAGCATGAACAAGAAAGGCGATACTATGAAGCCAAGAAGGAGAAAGATAAATTGCTCCGAAACAGCCATTTTGCAATCGGATGATGATTATAGATGAACAAAATTAATACAGTTATCAGACTGATCAATATTTGACGGTTAAAATCACATGATTTCGAACAAATTTGAAGGTCAGGGTGATATTGTTCGCGATGACACGATCACCACAGCACCATCGCCTCTCATTGATTAAAGGAGGAGGTTAATTACCAAAAATGCGGAGAACAGTGTCTCCAAATCGTACAATCGAAACGGAAAAGAAAAATTTGCACGTCGAAACTTTGCGCAATATAATTATGGCCAAAATGCGATATGCCAGTTTGAGCCCAGAGTTCAATCTGAAACAATAAGACCCCGACAAAAAGTTTCGGCATATGGCCTATATGAGAGTTAAGAGTATAATCTCAGCTTTAAATTGGTGTAGACCATTATTTACTTCACGTGTCAAACGATAGTTTTAACAGCCTTCAAAGTCGAAAACGCATTTTGGCCATTATTTTCTATATTGCGCGGATAAGCCTTAATTAATTCAGATATGCCAGTTTGAGCCCTATACTTAGTGGCGTAATGAACAAAAACGTTTGGGGCCGGGGGGGGGGGGGGGCTGACAAAATATCCGCATCACCCCACTCTTAGGCTACATGCAGACCCAGTGAACGTTTTTCAAAGTGGGGTATATAGGGGCAAAGTTTTACATACTTTTTCAAAATGTCATAACTTTCTTTTTAGTTATCCGATTTTGCTCAAACTTTTTTTGATTGGTTTGTTTGATCTTTCTGCTTCTATTGAAAGTAATTAATTTTTTGAAGTGGACTTTGTCTTGTCCTTTATAGCCTTCAAAGTTGAAAACGCATTTCGGGGATTGGGACAGAGCGTATAAACCCTGTATTTGCCGGTTTAACAGTATTTCATCTAACGCTATGCTTTAAAAGCAACTCTTAAAATTCGGCCAAAATCTCTTAAAACTGAAGAAGAATTTATTGTCCATGCTAGAAATTACGTAGGTCTACATCTATTCGTAGAATCGCGTTTTCCTGAATGGGTGTAGTATCTAGATCTCAACTTTAAATTGAAATCAGACGTTTTCAACGCCTGAAATGTACCAGGTTATGAGGTATTTGCTCTGCTTTAATATGCAACGTTTTATTTTCACATTCGAGACAGTAATATTAAAAGAATTTATCTAGTTTTTCTTTCTTTACAACCCATGTTACACATTCATCTTTTTTCTTTTCAAAGACACCATAGAGCGAATTCTATTGTTTTTCGGGCTACCTTCGCGCGGCTAGCTTAATTTTTTTCTGCGGCACAGATTTTTAAAAAGAGGTCTTGATTTAACCCTAACCCTAAACTTTCCCATAGGCTCAACACGCACCTAACCCCAATCTGTGCCGCAGAAAAAAATAACGCGCGCGGCTATTGGTCGCCAAAAGTAGCGGGTGTTGATTTAAACAGTGCTCGATCACTACCCCCCTCCGTCGGCCCACGCCGACCCCGCCCCCGCCCCTCGTTTATTCGCCGGATAATTCGCCGCTAAATATTTTCTCAAGAAAAAAATAATTCTTGGGCTTAGTCGCTTCGCTCCCTCGCAATGTCTCACGCAGGCTCGCATGTGGCTCAAATTAAGTTGGCAACCATAAGACCCCCCCCCCTTAAAAAAGCTTGTATGGGTTTGATAATCCTTTCACTTTTGCCTTTTGATTTGACGAAAAAAGTCATAGATATTTGTCATTTATCACAATGTCCAGCTCAAGCCTTTCAAAAGTAAATTCTTAATTAAGGTGGAAAGCATTTACAAAAAAGGGCACTGTCTAGACAAAAATGGGGCACCTACAAAGAAAAACCTCAAAGCGAAAATATTCCACTTTTAAACATTGGCATATATCCCTACATTGAGTGATTTCAAGTTCGGTGTTGAAAGCCGGTGTTGGTGTTGTGAGAACACCAACACCAGCCACAACACCGAACTTGAAATCTAATCAGGCTGGTATTCATTGACCTCGGGAAATATGACGTTTTTCCGGTAGTTGTGTTGAGGGCAGGGGCGTCTCAAAGGGGGGGGGGGGTGCGACAAATAGGGCTTATTAAGAGTCGAAAACGATACAACGAATCGTCTTCTTTCTATAATAATTAAATCAAACGTCTAAGCTTTTCGCGCTTCGCGCGGGAAGCGTTATTTATTTCTGCGGCACAGATTGGACTTAGGTGCGTGTTGAGCCTATGGGAAAGTTTAGGGCTAGGGTTAGGGTAAGGGTTAAATCAAGACCTCTTTTTTTTTTTAAAGCCCCAATCTGTGCCGCAGAAAAAAAAGACGCGTGCGGGAAGGGGTAAACTGAAGGCAGACAAGGATTAAGAGTCTAAAACGGTACAACGAATCGTCTGCTTTCTCTAATAATTTAAGGAAATGTCAAAGCTCCCACGCTTCGCGTTAATTCAGGAAACTGAATTCAGACAATTAGGGCTTATAAAGAGTCGAAAACGGTGCAACGAATCGTCTTCTTTCTATAATAATTAAATCAAACGTCTAAGCTTTTCGCGCTTCGCGCGGGAAGGGGGAAACTGAATTCAGACAAGGATTAAGAGTCGAAAACGGTACAACGAATCGTCTGCTTTTTCTCATAATTTAATGAAACGTCAAAGCTTCCGCGCTTCGCGCGGGAGGGGAGAACTGAATTCAGATAAGGATTGAGAGTCAAGAACAGTACACCAAATTTTCTGCTTTTTCTCATAATTTAATGAAACGTCAAAGCTTCCGCGCTTCGCGCGGGAGGGGGAGAAACTGAATTCAGACAAGGATTAACAATCGAGACCGGTACAGCAAATAGTTTTCTTTTCATAATAATTTAATGAAACGTCAAAGCTTTCGCGCGAGAGGGGGGGGGGGTGGAAACTTCATTCGGACAAGGATTAACAGTCGAGAACGGTACAATACATCGTCTTCTTTTCCTAATAATTTAAGGAAACGTCTGAGATTCCGCGCTTCACGCGGGAGGCCTATCAGGCTATTACCCACGACCCCCCACCCTATATTGAGCGCGCTTTGCGCGCTCTTTGAGTGATTTGCTTGCTCGCTACCGCCCCTCCCTAAAATAAGATCCTAGCTCTGCGCCTGTATATAGCTATGATGCCGACTAAGTTGACGAAATAATTCGTATATTTATGTCGTTGAGGAAAATGACGATTTGCGCATACGCAAGTACTCTAGATAGTCCATAGAAAAAACAATTTAGCCTTCGGTCCCGGGTTTATAGAGTTAAATTCGTAGATATTGCGAAATTTAATTTTGTCGGTAATTGGTGGCTAGTTTTGTCAGTAATCATTGGCCCCTACATCCCCCCCCTACTGAAAAGGGTCTAGCGACGCCCCTGGTTGAGGTTGAGTGTCGTCTGCTGAACCGAGTATCGCGGTTGGTGATGACGATTTACGTGTATTTTTCCCATTTACCAAGACCAGCCCCTACACACAGAGAAAAGTAGGTGTAAATTGACTCCCTATAGGGAGTAACTACTTGTCGCATAAGTGACACCCCTCAGGGAGTAAATTTACTCCCCAATGTAGGGAGTAAATTACTTTTTCTTATAAGAAGGTGTAAATTTGCACCCCAATGTTATGATTGTACTCCCTTTAAGGAGTGAAATTTGCACCCAATGGGGCTCACTTAACACCTTTCGGTTCCATTCTCATGAAAAATGGGTTCAAATTTACACCCGTGGGGTTGAATTTTATAACCTTTATGATCGATTCCACACGCTGTGGGGAGTAAATCTACACCCTTTTTATGCACAGCATCAACCAATTGATCATCCCTCGAGCAATCAATCATCCATGCTACGTAATCACCCAACAGTCACTGATTCTCACCCTTTTGTCTACGTTTCACTGCTCTAAAGAAATCAGACCAGAATGTCGAGTTATATATTGAAAAGCTTTAATGCTCACCTAAACAACAATTAGTGTGAACTCAACACAAGTGCAGACTGGAAGAATATACTTATGGCTGGAGTTATCGGTTCAAATGTAATGGAATTACTTAAAAACACATTCCTGCCTTACCGAATTTCTTCCCTTTACTTACACGTATAAGAAGACAATTATGTACTAGTTAGTAAAACAACACTTCTGCTAATTTCATTAAATTATCAAATATAACCATCGGTACAACCCCTTGATCGGATAACTTTCACACAAATAATATGCCCAAATAAAACATGATAATTCCCCTAACATGAATAAAATATGTGAATTAAGCTTTAAAAAAAATTCATTTGGCAGTACCTATATTGACACGATGCGCCATTGCTGTAGCGCATGCGCATATGCACTGACCAATCAGAGCTCGTCTGACTAAAATAGGGTGTAAAATTACATCCCTCAAATATACACCCTTGCGTATTTCCGTGTTTTACTCCCTAAAAGGTGTAAAAGCGGCGCCCTATTTTTCCAATTTCGTTTTACTCCCGAAGAACACCTTTTATTTCTCTGTGTGTAGGGATTGGGAAATTCATGATTTCAAGTTCGGTGTTGGTGTTGGTGTTGCAGTATATCGCAGGTAACTATGCGGACATCTGATAGATAGATAGATAGATAGATAATGGTTTTATTGAGAATAAAAGAACAACAATGCATCGCGGCCTACAAGGCCGAATTGGGCAATGTTTTACAAAATGTAAAATACAGTATATAAAAACATTCATATCAAATAACCTCAAATTAATGAACTAAACTTGAATGAGTAGATTGTTAAAAAAAAAAAAAAAAAAACTTTAAAAAGCTTATTTCTTATTATTTGATCTACCTAACTCATTTTATATATAAAGGAGATAAAGAGAAGTGAAGAAGAACATGATGGTGATGTAGAGTAAAGAAAGCAAAGAAAAGAGGATGGTAAGATTAAGAAGAGGATGAAGAGGAAGGAAAAGAGAGAAAGTAGAAGAGAAGGAGGAAGAAGAAGAAGAAGATTCAAGTAGGGATAGTAAGATGATAGACAGAGGGTAGTGCGAATAGTAACACTATCATAATGTATCGATATCAATATTCAAGCATTACACATTATACAAACTACTAATGATATAGGCGAAGTTATGAAGAAAATAAATACTTATATGAAAAATTGTACGAATTAAAAAAAAATTACTCTAGGTAATAGCTACTCTATTAAAGGAAAAGGTTATAACATTTCAACCAGACTATAACAAAGGAGAACCG